TAGTTTATTTAAATCGAAATTTATGGTTTCATCGGTAAGTATTTTTAGGTTAAGATATGTTTTCATTTGAACCAGTGGAGTAGCAGGACACCCGTCTTAAGACTGTTTTGACTATACAATGTCTTGTACAAGATTTGATACAATTTCTTATAGAATTTAAATTATATAGGATCACATAGTAAATTGTTTGAAAAATGATTATCCAATCTAATTTTTCAGACAATTTACTGCAGGTTTGATAATATACAATTTTGATACAATTTGTACAAGAAATTGTATCAAAAACTTGTGTAGTCTAAAACAGGCTTAAAACAGTTTTTAAAGTGATATTCTTTTTATAAATTAGTAAATTTTTCTTATACCAATAAATAATTATTGAATAGTGGCAAAGAAAATTTAACGTAAAATGTAGAATACCTTAAAAATGATTTACCTATTGAGCACCTATACATATTTTTTAATATTCTATTTAGGTTTCCGCAAGATCCCGAGAAAAGAAAACTTTGGTTTTCTCTAATAGGGATCCTTGAAAATAAGCCCCTTCGTAACAACCCAGAGTTGTGTTTAGAACACTGTTTTCCTGAAAATGTTTTGGTACGTGCAAATGGTATTAGATATATCAGAAAAGATGCAAACTCCAGACGGTGTGAGGGGTTTCTATTTTTGGATGACTTATCCAACAGGTAAAAATACAAAATACTAATTTTTTGTTTATCTCTAAACATTATTTATTACCTATATGTATGTATATCTAATGTATGGGTTTTTAGTTCTGATTTAACTGTTTTTGGAACACCACCTGCTGCAAAAAGAAACACTGCAGTAAGTAATAACACTAATAACTAAGCATAAAAAATTTAATTTTAGTTAATAAAATTAAAGAATTTAATATATTTAAAACGTTATTTTAAAAATGTTTACAGTTTTTTTACGATATTTTTTTGCCATACCATGATTTTTTGTTATTATTAATTAAAAAATTATATATTTTTAGGAAAGTGTTTTATTTAGATACCCCTACTAATTTAAAATTTTAAATAATTTTGGTTAACATCATACCAGGCAAATACTTAGTAAATGCCAATAAACTATAAACCAATAAATATTAAAAATCGGAAGGTAACTTGAATTCGCTTGTATTTGAATTTACTTGTACTTTAATTTACTTACATGAAAAATCAGCAAGTATCAGGCAAAACTATTGCCATATACTCTGATAGTCAAGCAGCTCTAAAGGCAATTGTCTCACCAGAAATCAAATCACGACTGGTGAAAGACTGTCTAGAAGACCTGACAGAGCTTAGCCTGGATTCCAGGCCATGAGGGATATCAGGGCAATGAAAAGGCCGACGAATTAGCCCGAGAAGGCTCAGATAAGTCCATGACAGGCCCCGAACCCTTTTGTGGAGTTGCTAAGGCATTGTGCAAGGCATCTATTAAACAATGGATGCAAAAAGAGTCTCAGGAATGGTGGAACAACTATCCAAGACTGAGACAGGCTAAACAGTTCATCAAGGAACCATCGGCCAAGTTCATGAAAGACCTACTGGATCAAAAGCGTAAAATCGTTAGGATAACAGTAGGCCTTCTTACTGGACGCTGTCGCCTCAAAAGGCACATGAGTGTCATAAATCCAACAGAAAAAGCAACTTTGTGCAGGTTCTGTAAAGAAGAAGAGGAAACATCATTCCACGTCCTGTGCCAATGTGAAGGCCTGGCTGGAATGAGGTTTTTAACATTGGGCGAAGAAAAGAAGAAAAGCTAAATGCATGCAACTACATGCCGGAGCCACTGTCAAAGCTACTAAGTCTAATAAAAAAGACCAGGCTAGATGACATACTCTAAAACAAACTGAGTCCCACAATAGATCTGAAAAGATCGCGGTGGACAAGGACAAATAACGTCCAACTCCTAATCTAATCTACCTACATGAAAAAATCATCATAATTACGAGTATATTACTAAAAAAATATACCTACATATTTACGTATTTTTTAACATACTACTCTGAGAATACTGGTAAGTTTAAAACTCTACGCCACTGGCGAGCACATTATGGACACTGTTTACAACGTTGCCAGCCGGTCCTAAGAGATCTGTCTTTCTCTCTTCCACTCACTAACAATTTTAAAACAATAACAGTCCGCAATTGTATGGGATTTATGAATAAACCATTTTGTCTCTATGTTGTAATGTCTGTGGATATTTCTATGAGTGGATTCGACTGGCCGAACTTTATGCGAACTTAGTTCAACTTTTTTAAGTGATATTTGTTTGACTCACACGCAAATCCTACTTAATCTTAATACTTATTTATTTCCTAACCTGAGTTCCAATTATACATCCGTAAATGTCATTTTGTTTATGCGTTTGATATTTATAATATTTAGATAATTAAAACAACTAAGAGGTTGATTTATATTAGTTCAATTTTAAAGCGTTCAAGATCTTGGTCGTCATGGCTTTTACCGTTGAAATTGAACTGTCATTCCAAATTTGCCGACTTACACACTGGGTACCAACTTAACACAGTAGGTGCCAACCTTCATCCAACATACGTGACATTAGTGAGTATTTGTATTTACCTTTTATTATTGGTAGGGAGCCAGTGATACTTTCAGATGTGTTATTTGCGAAAGGTAAAATTACAAAATTTCGTTCATTTCTACCTTGTAGAACATGGAAATACTTTACTGCAAACCCTGCAGCGACAACTTAAAAAGCCTGTGTAGGAAATGAAATTTTCAGATAGTATTTACATCAAAAGTTAACAGAACAAAGTTTAATGCCACCTTCTTGAAATTCGCTCACAGTACCTTGCGAGGGCATTCCAATGCCAGATCGATTGCAGCAAACGATTTTCTTTTATTTATATATTATTCTATCATAGAACAAAATGAGCCTTGCGTAAATACAATATATTTATTATATAAATTTTCTTTTCTAAACTTGAAGGTAGCAAACTTTTTTTCTATTAACTTTTGGTGTAAATATCTAAAAGTTTGGAGTTTGTTTATTAGCACTTTCTATATCGGCGTTTTAAAGATATCGACATCGAGCGTTCCGCTACTGGGGCGTCTACAACAAAGTATTTCCATCTTATTCTATAGGGTAAGACTTAATGTTACACTTATAATTTAGCCTTGTGCAAATGTGTACCAAAAAAATATCACTAGCTCCCCTACTATATAGAGATGTGGCAAAAAATACACTCACTTTATCTACTGTATAATCTGTAAAATGTTTTCGAATACCATCGTATACATCTTTTTATTAAATTCCGCTTCCGAAAAATGATGCAGCTGGGTAAATCCTGCTTCATTTTAAATAACGTTTAAACAATTTCAAAAAAAAAAACAATAAGCAAAATAATTTACCGGGAATTACCTTATCGACGTTACTTATCACAAATCAAACTAAACTCACAAGCGATTATTGCCTCTACAAATGAAATATTATCGACGTTGCATTTTCTCTATGGAATGTGACTCAAACGTGTCCGTTTTATTGCATAGCCAAACATGCAAGAGAAAACAAATTCCCAGACATATAGCAACGTGGTAACAAACCGATCAAGCGCTAACAGAAAACCTATCTGTGTTGTCAAAGTGAAGCAAATTTTGTTAGATTTGCTCATTAAACGCAAAATCCCTTTTATGTTGTATGCTTAGATTAGTTTTAGTTGCCTAATCAGAAAGAGACCATTATGTCAGTTGTCATAAAACTACTGTTCTGTAAATGACACGTGTCATGTCAAGAGAGGTGATAAGATGGTCTTTTTGCGAGAAGGTTAAAGTTATTTTATGTTAAAAAGAAAATCCAAGTTAATCTGAATAATAAAGAAAGTAAGAGCATAAAAGTCGTTTAAATATAAAAAAAATCGTATGTGATATTAAGTTTTTTATGTTCTTAGATTTAAGGATTGTAATTACTCCTGAGACAAACAATGAAATAATCTTAAGCATAATACATTGTAGCGTTAAGCAATAATTTTGTATTTTAAACACTTTTTGTATAACTTTTATTACGAAAGACATTCTTCTTTCTATGTGGTAACTTGTTAGGCATAATGTTCCCACTGTTTGTTATTTTGAAATCGTAGTATAGAAACATAACATCTATAAAACGTTTCAGAACAACAAGTAATGTAAATCTGCTAGTTTGATGTTTTCCGAACTTTATACTTTGTAACCTCTATGAGACAAAAGAGATGTTCTATAAGATCCCTGCAGTTGCGGATATTCGGAGGTTCCATGGATGTTAGAGTTACAATAAAAGTACACTGCATGTGATAAAGAGCCCGGAATTACAGTTTATTAACTTAGATGGGATGTTTATGTGCTAGCTAGGTACGTACCCAATAAAAACTGTCACGGTAACTGGGCCGAAGGAGGCTTGCAGGATGCCGAACTCGGCCTGATATAAGGGTGAGGCTTCGGCATATAGGTAGGGCATGTCGTCCACCCCGCCGAATGTCGACGGCCCACTAAATTGTAGCCGCGCTCATATACCTATATATAATTCGGCCCGTAAGGATGCCTCCCATACCCGGCTAGCCAAATATTAACCGCGTTCGGCCCGTAAGGATGCTTCCCATGTCTGGAACGCGAAATATGGACCATATGCGGTTTCTACTTCTAAATTATGTGAAATGGTACGGTCCTCTCAGGTCAGAAGAAACGCCGACAACGGCTTCCCGTACATGCCGGTGTCAGGCCGAGCGAATGCCGACTATTTGTGGTTTACTGGGTAGTCTCTCCCCTTTACCTTTTTTAAACAAAATTCGTTTAGATTAAAATATAATAAGGTATTTTTGATAAATCGATTAAAAAGGAGAAGTTCGTCAATTTTCTAGCTTAATTCTATATAAAATAAACTAGTCATAAACATCCTTTGTTCGAAAGATTGATTTCTACAACATATCCAAAATGTATAAATACCCGAGTATCGTTTCTCGTACTAAGAATATAGTGTCCTAAAAATAATCTAACAAATCATACTTGGAAATTTCCATGGCTCCTCCGCATTCTCCAATCGCATAGGGATGTCCATTCGAACATTTGTACCAATGTCCGCGGGATAATCCAACAGCTTTTATGATGTATTTTTTCTCAGTTTCGGAAAGGGTAATTGCAGAAGATGTTAATTCCTTCAACTCTTCCAAAGATGTTTTAATGAGACCATCTTGAGTTTCATCATACCTGCAGTATTTATTCAAAGCATTAACGATGTCTTCTACCTACAAAATATTTTTGTTTAGTTCTACATAATGTTCCGTTGGGAAAGCGCATACGTTAAGTGTTAAGATTGTTCTATTATAAGCCATATTTATTTTAATGGTACCTAGTGGGTAGATTTATGCAATATACAGGGTGTCCCGAAATCAGACGGTCACATTTTAACAGCACAATCTACATCCTAAAATAGGAGTAAAAGTTCATATAAACATAGGTCCGAAAACGTTTCTTTTCTGAGATACAGGGTGTTTAAAGTGAAGTCCTGATGACACTCTTTTGTAAATATTTTCTAAACGTTTAAAGATAACTAAGTGAAATTTGGTACAAATGCTAACCCATCTAGCACATAATTTTGGTGGTCTTGTACACCAGTAGTTAGACGTTTAATGAGAAAAAAGAATGGCCCGCTTTTCATTCGTTAATATTCTGTGAGATTTTAGTTCTAAGTTTTAAGTCAGTCGTCAATGTCAAGATTGTCAAAGAAAAAAGTTGTTCTTGTGGAGAGATGAATTTGATAAGTCATTGCGTCAAGTCGTTTTAGAAATTACAAGTTTTGAATAAAAACCAATGTTTTATTTAGTATTAGAAGGTACCCGCAGGCCATCCCCACATATGTCAATTTTTCTTGTCATATGTCATGTTTCTGTTTTTTTTAACTTGAAGAATTTATTTTATAATTATTATTTAAACATTTGAGTAAAATTGGTAAGGATCCTGTATAAAATAGAAAACTATTTTCTGAACCATTTTCTTCGTTTTAGATTACAATGCCTGTTGTAAATTTTATCAAAATGTCCGGGAATATTTGAATCATATTTTTGTAGTTTTCGACAGAATGACCTGGAGCTGGTTTATAAAATTATAAAAATGTCCGGAAATATCTGATAACTTTGTTAGAAGCTAGATAGAAGGACTTGGTTTATGAAATTATAAAACGAGGACCTCTAAATACTTGAAATACCTTATGAAAGAGGTATACAAAACTAAGTTGCCACGTTACTGGCCTATTTAAGGATGTAAGTGGTGACAGTAATTCCTTTTCACCTAGCTGGCTCTTAAAATTTAATGATTCGGAGAGTGAAGGGATTAATAAAAGAATATCTAACTGTGATTTGATATAATATCTCTTTTAGCTTATGCACAATTTACCCTGTGGTTTATAATCCCCTACAAATGGTTATTAAAGCTGTTAATGTGTTGATGGTATTAATGATACGATACAATTTATCTTATGGTCCCCCTTTTAGTACTAGAAGGTGCTCAGGTGAGTTTACATGTTTAATTTTTCAAGTTTATCTGCTATAGTTTATATTTATTTTAGGAATTAATCAAAACGAGCCACTACTTCCAAATCTGGAGAAATACTGAGACGTGATAAATCTTACTGCAATCAAACTGGTGATCATTCAGGATGCGGTAATAACTGATGATAGCTTCTGGAGGCGCCAAAGCCTCAGCAAGGGGCTGCAAGTGAATCATAGCTATATAAATTGAGATTCCTATGCATGTCGCTAACATATGTGTTTTAGGTAATATTTCAGTTCAACAAAAGACCCACTGTTATTAGATACATAATTATTCATTAGATAATTACAGTAAATGATAAATGATAAATAAAATAACACTATTGGTATGTGATTTTAGGGGAGCATGGAGAGGTTGAACTTATCAAAGATTTAGGGGCCCTTCTATTACAAGAAACAAAATCCACAATATGTGATTCCACTTTAGTAAGGATGTAACAAACTTCTGGGTAATAATATACTTAATCGAACTAAAAATACATTTTAAAAATATTGTATTTTAGATTTCCTCTATACCTGAAAAATTCTAAGAATTTTAGAAGCAAAATAAATACTACAGACTTGTCTAAAGAAGAATAGGTATATGACATCTGAAGTTTTATAAAAAGTGAATCTACATGGTACGTCTATATTGAAAAAAAAAAAACATCAGATTCAAGCAAGTGCCAAACTAGAAGAAAATTTGAGAAAAATCACAGACGATGCCCTCGAGCATACATCAGAATATCTTGCTAAAAACATGAGTTGTTTTTTTATAAAATCTTCATATTAACTTGGAAATTCATAATTAAGCATAAAATTTGTGAAATTCTAAAAAAAAAAATTAATGCACTAACATTGGAGGTTTTATTTAAAACAACAAAGTAAGACAAAATTATCTAAAAATAAGTGCAACGATTTAAACTTGAGTATATTTTTTTACTTTATATACAGGGTGTCTGTAAAAGGTCTTTACAAAAACATACCACATATTCCTTAAACCAAAATAAGTCGATTTAAGTAAAATTACCTTAGTACAAAGTTGCTTCGTTTGGGCTCCAGAGGGCCTTGAAGTTATAATTTTTAAATCGTTTTTCCCATATAAATTTAAAACGGCATATGCGATTTTGCTGAAATTTGGTATATTGGTAGAGTTTTATGTGGCAAAAAAAAATTGTATTAAAATTTTGTCCGATAATAATACATACGCGTAGAACTTCATTTTTTTAAATAATTTCACCTTTAAAAATTCTACGCCAATGGAAGAAAAGGAGTTTGAGTATGAAATTTAGATTGCGCAACTCATTTACTTTAAAAAAGGTACTCTTGATAAGACTCGATTACTTTCATGGTTTTCGCTAAATTTCTGTTTTAATAATTTAGAGTGTATAGGTTTCACAAAAATAGTTATTTACAACATAATCAAAATAGAGATTTTACAAAAATTGTTCAAAATGTTCACCATTTTCACGCATACAAATATTTATACGTCGAAGAAAATTAAAATGTATCCTTTCCATAACTTCTTCATCACCTCTAAGATTGTTTATTGCATCTTGAATACGTTTGCCAGAGTTGTTCCTCATTTTCTACAGGTTCCCTGTAAACTGTGGATTTTAGATGTCCCCATAAAAAGTAATCCATCGGTGTTAGGTCTGGGGAACGTGGTGGCCAGTTTACAGGTGCGTCATTACCTCTGCCTATCCATTTGTGTGGATATTGTTCATTCAAGTGGTTTCTAACGTTTAAAGAAAAATGTGGTGGAGCTCCATCTTGCATAAAACACATATCTCTACAAAGTTGGAGAGGTAAATCTTCTAACAATTCTGGCAACGTTTTTTTGTAGAAAATCCAAATAATTTTCTCCAGTTAATCTTCGTGGAAATATGACAGGATCAACAATGAAATTACCAATTATTCCAGCCCACACATTAATTTTGAATTCGTGCTGAAAATGGTTTACCTTTATTGCATGCGGATTTTCAACGGCATAAACATGTTCATTATGGGTATTGGTAATACCTCTTCTTGTAAAACCCGCTTCATCGGTAAAGAGAACCTTCTTGACAAAGTTTGGATCTCTTTCTCTTTGCATATTAACAAATCGACAAAAACCCAAACGAATTTGACGATCATGGACTAATAAGTCTTGTACTGGCTTCTTATGGTATGGATATAGCAATTGTTCTCTAAGCACTTTATGAACGACATCTTTACTTACTCCTAGTTCCCTTCCAATTCGTCTGGTGCTTAATTCTGGATCTTCTTCAACACGTTCTAAAATGTCTTCTTCAACTTCAGGAATCCTTACAAAACGTTCTCTTCCATTATCAACAGTGTTGGGAGCAAATGAACCGGTCTCCCGAAGACGTCTCTCAACAGCAGCAAAAGTTGGGTGGCTAGGTACACGACGATTTGGAAACCTTTCAGAGTACACCCTGACGCTCTCTCGAGCATTTCCTTCACAAAATCCTAATGTCAGTAACATATCGGTATATTCTGCATTGGTATATTATACAGCCATATTAATAAACCACGCATTTGTTTTAATTATTGAGTCAGATAGAACACTTTCAATCGTTAACAAGAGATTAGGTGTTAAAACTTGACAATATTTTTATTTAGATGAAACTGTGGAAACCAACAATAAATGTTTTTGTATAGGTATTGCAGGCAAATAATATTCCTCAAAAAATCGTACATGGCAAGAATCGAGAATTTTTGTTAAAAGTCTCGATTAGAGGTGTTGAAGAAGATATGAAAAAGTATATTTTTATGTTTTTCATCGTATAAAATTTTGTCCGATAATAATACATAGGCGTAGAACTTGATTTTTTAAATAGTTGCACCTTTAAAAATTCTACGCCAATGGCAGAAAAGGGGTTTGAGTATGAAATTTGGATTGGGTACTCATTTACTACAAAAAAGTACCCTTGATAACACTCGATTTACTCTCATGGTTTTGACAAAGTTTGTATTTTAATAATTATTGTTTATGTTCTAAAATTACTAAAATGCAAATTTCGTCAAAACCATGAGAGTAATAGAGTCTTATCAAGAGTACCTTTTTTAAAGTAAATGAGTTGCGCAATCCTAATTTCATATTCAAACTCCTTTTCTTCCATTGGCGTAGAATTTTTAAAGGTGCAATTATTTAAAAAATCAAGTTCTACGCCTATGTATTATTATCGGACAAAACTTTAATACTATTTTTTTTGACACATAAAACTCTACCAATATACCAAATTTCAGCAAAATCGCATATGCCGTTTTTAATTTATATGGGAAAATCGATTTAAAAATTGTAACTTCAAGGCCCTCTGGAGCCCAAACGAAGCAACTTTGTACTAAGGTAATTTTACTTAAATAGGCTTATTTTGGTCTAAGGAATATGTGGTATGTTTTTGTAAAGACCTTTTACAGACACCCTGTATAATTTTCTTCAATAATAGTTAAACAAGTAGGTCAATCTCTTTTTTATTCAATATGTTGTGGAAAAGTAAAATCATTTTATATAAAAATATAATTTATCCTCTTCTAATAAATTGTGATATACTTATGTTACATTATAGCATAAATAAAAATATTTCCAAGCCACATGTAGTTAGAATAAAATAATTTTTGTTCACCTTTACATAAATAATAAACTAACAAAATAAAAATATATAAATATCTATACAAAAAAAAGTTAAAAGGTTTGATTTTAAAAAGATGATATA